AAAAAAAAAAAAAAAAGGAACATGGAGATCTCCAAGAGACACCAGGTCCAAGATGTTGAAAGGGGAAGACAAGGACACTCCCCCAGAGCCCACACAGAGAGAAAACTTTCCCTAGAGCTGGTGCTGTGAATTTGCACTTCTAGCCTCCTAAACTGTGAAAGAATAAGTTTGTTTGTTAAAGCCATCCACTTGTATTTCTGTTAGAACAGCACTGGATAGCTAAGACACCATCTCTTTTGAGTCCTTCATAACCTCAGGGTTGCACTGTTTTCCTTACCTCCATTCTGTGCCATTCCTGTCAATCAGCTAGATCAGAATCTGTAAAGTGCTGCTTGGCCTACATTACCCCTCAGTCCAGAATCCTCCAAACCAAAACCTGAGCCCATTGCTATCAAGTGTATTCCAACTCAGAGTGACCCTGTAGGACAGAAGTAGAACTGCACCATAGCATTTCCAAGGCTGTAAATTTATATGAAAGCAGACTGCCTCATTTTTCTCCCACAAAATGGCTAGTGGATTTGAACTACTAACTTTTTGGTTAGCAGCCAAATGCTTTAACCACTATGCCACTAGAGCTCCTACATAGTCCTTCATATAATGGAATTCATTGTTTTCCCTGGCCTTATACTCCATAAGATAAAACAAACAAGCAATCAGCATAAGCAATAAGCGTGCTCATTTTCTACATTTCTGTCTCTCTTGTAAAGTCTTTACCATTATTTTCCTAATGACAAACCTGGATAATTTGACATTTTTGAGTTCTTACCCACCTTGACTTACTAGCCCAAGTGCTGTCAGTTTAATTTAAGGAACAGAACACTGAGCAAGTAAATAATCCCCATGAGCTTTGGATTAATAGTAGAATGATAGATCTCATGGTTAGATCACCTTCACATCTACCTTACATGTATTACTCAAATTTATGTTCTCCTAGCTGCTCCTACTGTACTTGCATCAGTGTTGACCCATTTTGGCTCTGTCTGAACTATTATCATCTCTGACTGATCCTACCAGTTCTTTCTTCTTGCTCCAATTCTGAAGATCATATGGGAGACAATATTTGAAAGTGCTTTTCTAAACATAAACATACAAGTTTCCATTATCATGACCTTTCACGTGACTATCAGGAATCTTTCTTATGAAGGTACTCATGGTTACTTCTTGTGAGACCTTCTGTTCTGGATCATCTCAATCCAGGACTCCCTCTTGCAGATAAGGTTATGTGCTTTCGCTGTATTTCTGCTCCTTGCCTTGTACTATATTATTTAAGAGTTTGTCCCTTTCTTGAACTCCCTAGGGTCCAGGAACCATGTTTTATTCATTTTTGTGCATGTTCCCCTCACTTCTCTTAGTCTCAGGACAGGACAGTGCTTGGAACATGGGAAATTAGCAGCCCCTGCCAAGCATTGTGTGTTTGCCAAATACCTGTGGTGCTGCTGTTCTCCCTTCTGGACTTCGCACTGTCTCCACAGTTGAGTCCTTGTTGAGTCCTTCCTAGCTAGCTGATATCCTTGCTACTGAAAGTACCATCTTTGGACCAGTGGCATTGGTGTCACATGGAGGCCATTTTTGCTGCAATTAAGAACTTTGGAAAAGAGTTCATTATGTTTTAATTTTTGAACACAGGTACTTGCAACTGGGCTCAGTGGTCTCTACTCTTCCCTGCCTACAAAGCTAGAAGAAAAAGGCGAAGAATGGCACTGCCTTCTTAAAGACGACTGGCTCCTACTACCATCTCTCGTCCAGTTCATGAATTCCCTGGAGTTTTGTAATGCAGTCATACAGGTACCAAAGCACAATAACAGAATCCCTTTATACGGTCCCATCTGGAACCTGAACATTGCAAATGATTAGTTTATAACCTTCATATTTTTTCATTTCACCAAATTTTTATGGAATAGTTTTGCTTTACTTTAAGCATAGTGAATGCCCTTGGATGAGTGAAAATGTTAGTTTATAGGTTTCTGGGAAGTTTTAATTGAGAAAAAAATTAGTAAATTTTCTTTATCTTCTTTATAGAAAGTGTTAATTCTGTTTTGATTATCCACTTAACCATCAAAAATAAGTTCAATGCTTGACTCATTAAATAGATATTTTTAGCCTTCTAAGTACTCCAGATTATACCACTTTTATTTCAAGGTCTTCTTGGTAGCCTACAAAGGAAAACACTTTATTTTGCTTAATGGTGCATACTACATAAAGAATATTGTTATCCCAATTGAATTTAGAAGAAGTTAAGCATCTTCTTAGCAACACAAATTAAATTTGCTTTTAAATTGGTCTGCTTGGGGGAGAAAAAACAACTGCTGAACTCTTGTATATTTGGCTTCTTGATTAAATTTTCAATTTCACATTTCTGGTTACTGTTTTCAATAAAAAAATCAGATTTTATATATATTTAATGATGTATAGTGGGTTTCCATCAAAATTTGTTTTATTTCTATACATCATAAATATTACTTTAATTTTGGTCTTATTATGAAATTGAGTTTTCTTTATGGTGATTGTAGGGTGAAAAATGTTAGTTATAATCTTTTTATCTATCAAATAAAGAAATAGCTTCTGGAAGAAAATTCAAGTAAATTACTTTAGTTCCCATCTCATTTTTATTGCTAAGTCAAAGGAAGTTTCATTTATATATAAGATAAATGAATTATATTTTAAGTTATTTTATTTTTAGTATTACAATATATCAACATTTTCTTGCAGAAGTATGTGGAAATAAAAAAACCATGAAACTATTCCTCCCCAAATGTACATACAGAAAGAGATTATCAGTAATTTAAAGATATAGTCTTACTTTCCTAGAAATTGCTTTTTACTTTACACTTTGACTTCATTATTTTTTTAAGAAAGAGAAGCAAAGCTAATAGACTTGGATAACAGCAGAGAAATTGTGTATTTCATACTATATTTTTAAATTGAAGCCATGTACTTATTTAGGGGTATTACTTATAAAAGATATTAACAAAGAATTACTCATGACAAATATATTTTGTAAATTAATTATAGGAAGTGTTGTAGGTCTGATAATGTTTTCTGCTTTTGAGCAGTTTCTAATTTTTTATGAAAAGCTTTTCTAAATGCCTTCCACCCCAAAATAAATGACTATTGAAAAACGCACCTTCAAAATGAGAAAATTTGTTCTGCTAGCAAAATAAATATACTTAATTGTTCATTTTGACAATTATATCCTTTGTTAAGAAGGATAAAAAGAAGAAATTCGTCACAAATTGAAATGGAACCTAGACAGAATTATGGGGTAAAAATTTTAATTTTTAGACTATTAATTTAAGTTTATGAATTCTTATATGTATTCAGAAAGAGCCTTCATGGCTAAAGATTGACAATTTGAACCTACCAGCAGTACCACAGGCTGAAAAGACCTTGCAGTCTGCTCCAGTAAAGATTGCAGCCACAAAAACCCTATAAGCCAGTTCCACTTTGTCATATAGGGTTACTGTGAGTTGAAATGGACTCGATGATACACAACAACAACAACATACATACATACATACATACATATTCAGTTTATTGATTTATTTTCAAATAGAAACTTTAAAATGACCAATTCTTTAAATTTGGAAGTCCAGCTTCTGCCAATTTTAACCAAACTGTTTATACTAAAAATAACCTTTTCTAGAAGGGAAAAAAAATACATGGCAGTTTGAGGTCTGATCTATTCTTTAACCACTGACTATTTGGCCAAAATTTGGATTTCCTTTTGAATTCAGAGTGTACATAGAAATGTTTGACTTTAAGAAGATCTAAAGATTGAACTTCTTGTCTTTTTCATGACTACCTGTGTCTCTCTTAGGTGGCTCACCCCTTGATTCGCAATCAGCTTGTCAATTATATTTACAATGGATTCTTGGTACCAGTCTTGGCCCCTGCCCTCCATAAGGTCAGTGATTAGATAATGTTAATCTTCTCCCTGTTTATAGTACAAGTGATGGAAACTGAGGAAGGTGAACAAATGTAGTTGACATGATGCCGGCTTTAGCTTTTTTTGCTTATTATTTCATCTACATTTGTTAGCAATATCAAACAATGGCCATAGCAAAAATATGATGAGATCCATTCAATGTAATAGAATATAACATTGTAAATATCAAAAAGATAGTTAGCTAAGTTAAGAGGGACAAGTAGATTCTTACTCTTGTGCCTACTTCATATCATGGGTAATGGCTACTTGGAACTCTGTTATGCTGTCCTCTGAAGCCAAGTCTGGCATAAAGAGTGCTAAGTCTGCTGTGTGCATATGGTGAGGGGCAGTGGGTAGCACAAGTGCCATGAGTTTGTCATCTGCAAGATAATTTTTTATTTTAACAGTTTTTTGACAGCGAAAATTAAAGTGTCACCAAGTTAAGGTCCCATCAAAGGTTGGCTGTTTCTTTATTTCCACTCTGAATTCCTATGACATTCTCATTTTGTATAAGTATTCAACATATATCGTTTGCTTTGTGAGCTGTCAGAGAGATGCCAATGGATATAGAATTATATGTTTTAGTAGTTTTTTCTTCACTAAGAAACATAGCCAGTACACAGTTCAGAAGAGGTTTGTCAACTTACTGGAATCACCAGCTCTGGTAAGGAGAAAAGCAAGGAGCAACTAAACATGTTTTGATGGAATGCCTACCTTTCTGTATCCTGACATTCCATTTTCGTGGGCTCTCATTGTGTAGAGTCCAAGAATGCCTGATTATGGTAACTTTCAAGACTGTCTATATATGCTGATGGTTTTCCAGTCTCTAGCATCAATCCTTGATGAAAGATATTCATTTCTCACCATGTAAGGCCCTTTGAGTATTTTTCAAAAACTATTGTAAAAAAAATCATTATTTTCAAAAATCAACAGGGTACTTGGTCTAAGACTTTTGTATTGTCTCTAGTTTCAAGAATTAGCCTTAGAATTATGGTTTAAACATCAGAATACTGAGATTCCCATGATATTTTAAAAAACGAAGTCTGAAATTAGATCTGTCTTAAAAATTATGGAGCATGTTTTCAGAAAACACAAACTTGTGTTTGCATCCAGGTTGTTCTTCTGTTGGTATCTTGGCACTCTGAGGAGTGTGGTGTCTCATATTGAAGGTCTCTAAGTCTCGTCATGGAGGACTATTCCTTGTTGGAGAAATACAGCAGTACTATAGAAATTCTTTGGCAGTAATTTTCCATATATACTCTTACATATTTAGACTTTCTTCCTCATTAATTCTCATCCTTTTCATCATTCACCTAGTGACACAAAATAATTTTGCAAGTCATTATTCTAGTACTGATAATTGTTATAATCACTTTGTTCAGGATATTTTGCTATTATAATTAGCATGGCTTAATTCTACAGATATTAATGATAACTATTAACCCATAATTGAGGATGGAGAGCTGGTATGAGGATCCTACTAGTCACTCTCTATTTCTTCTTCATAGTACTTACTACAAGCCGAATTGAATCATTAAATATAGAATTACTTTTTTAATGTCTCCCTTATGGTATGTGAGCTTCTACGGGTAGAGATCACACCTATTTTGTTCACTGTTCTATCTCTAGTGCTGAGCATAGTACCTTACATTTAGGAGGTTGGAAGAACATGCACAAATGGAATGATGTTTGTTAAAGTGCCAAGCAGAGTGCTGCCACTTAGTATGCTCCCAGACAGTTGCTCATAGAGACTAATAGCTAACATTTTATATGTTGTTGCTGTTTTGTGCCGTCGAGTCATCTCCGACTCATAGTGACCCCGACTTGGGTTTCCAAGGCAGTATCTCTACGGAAGTATATTGCCCAAGTAGACACCATATTTAATTATGAGCGTAATTGAGAATAATACTAGTTAATATATGTAAAGTGCTATATGGTAGCATAATGCCTTAGGCACTACACCACCATATAGCACTTTACATATATTAACTAGTATTATTCTCAGTTATGCTCATAATTAAATATCGTATTTAAAAATTATAAAGTCCATACATGCTTGTTGGAAAAAATATAGTCAATACTACATATATAAAATGCAGTGTGTTAGGCTGGGTTCTCTAGTGAAGCAAGACCAGTAAAGCTTATATATACATATAGAGAAAGAAAAATTTATCTTAGGAAAATGGCTTACACACTTATAGAAGCTGTCAAGTCCCACGTTCTTTGATCAAACGTCATGCTGGAGGCTTTTCCTGACTCACACAGCTGCAGGGGCTGATGAGCTCAAGATTGGCAGGCAATATACTGACTGTTGACTCCTAAGAATGACAAATCCAAGATCTCCAGGCTGAATGGTGGATTGTTTGCTCACGAACAGTTGTAGACAGCACAAGAGGAGCCTGATTCACAGAAGAGTGTCTCTTTTCCCAGGATATCCATAACTATATTGGAAGTAGGCCACAACAGTAGGAAAATTCTGTTTCAGTGGATTGGCTGCTCAAAACATACACATGTGATCCCATCATGAGAATAACCCATATCACAACTGCTTAAACCCCACAGAATTGTGGTCTAGCTAAATTGACACACAGCTCCAACTATCATAATCCACCCCTTGTCAACTTGGCAGTTGTACACATCTTCTTAACCATATATAATCTCTAAATAAGGACAATTATAAAGTCATATTTGCACCTAATGTGCAAATATTAGTACTGACACACGTACAACCAAAACACATTAACCTTGTTTATATTTCACAGTTTATAACAGAAGGAAACAAAACTATTTGATGCACATATACAATGAATAAATATAACAGTCACAGTCCTTGTTTCTGCAACTGGTCACGTAGTCACAGCTGATATTCAGAACTGCCTTCCTCCACCACCCATTCCATATTTCCCTTGCCCTCAGCAAGCACCTCAGCTGGTTGTGGTTCTTTGCCTGGTGGGGTAACCCAAACCTTCATTCCTGAAGGGTCTGGGCCATTAGTAGTCATATCAGAATTGGGTTGCTGTAATTTTCCATTAACTTTAATCACAGGGCATGGTAGAACTAAGAGACGTCCTAAAGAATCTCCTGTATTCCAGACATATTCTTCTTTATCTCTATTATGTGATATCAATCCAGTTTCCCCTTGGTAATCAGGATCTATCACACCAGATAGTACAGTAATGCCCTTCTTTGTCTGTTGATCCAGATACATAAGGAAGCCAAAATGGCCAGTTGGCATTCTTAATTTCCAGTTCAATGCAATCAGTATTGTGTCTCCAGGTGGGAGTGTTCCTCCCTTTGGGAATAAGATCTCCAGATCCTCAGAGCATAGAGTAGCAGAGACAGGAAGCAAAAATTTTTTGAGTAGGTCACTAGGGGCAGTAGTTAGTGGTACCACTCCTGTTTCCATCCCTTGGTTCCTGGACCCATGAATCCTGGCTATTAGAGAAACAGTACCATATATCAGATGCTGGTTTAGAGCACATTCAGCCTCTTGTAGAACATTGCCCCAACCCTTCCAGGTACTGCTAACTTTCTGGCACTATAATTGTGTTTTTAGTAGGCCATTCCATCACTCTTTCAAGCCAGCTGCTTCTGGATGATGGGGAACATGGTAAGACTAGTGAATTCCAAGAACATAGGCCCATTGCCACACTTCATTTGCTGTGATGTGAGTCCCTTGATCCAAAGCAATGCTGTGTGGGATACCATGACGGTGGATAAGGCATTTTATAAGTTCATGGATTGTAGTTTTGCAAGAAGCATTGCATGCAGGGAAGGCGAATCCATATCCAGAATAAGTATCTATTCCAGTAAGAATAAAACATTGTCCTTTCCATGATGGAAGTGGTCAAATGTAATCAACCTGCCACCACATTGCTGGCTGATCACCCTGAGGAATGGTTCCATATTGCAGACTCAGTGTTGGTCTCTGCTGCTGGCAGATTGGGCACTCAGCAGCAGTAGCGGTAGCCAAATCAGCCTTGGAAAGTGGGAGACCATGTTGCTGAGCCCATGCATAACCTCCATCCCTGCCACCATGGCCACTTTGTACATGAACCCATTGAGCAATTACAGGAGTAGCTGGGGAAAAAGGATGGCTGGTTTCTACTGAACATGTCATTCTATCCATCTGATTGTTAAAGTCCTCCTCTGCTGAGGTCACCTTTTGGTGGGCATTCACATGATACACAAATATCTTCACTCCTTTGGCACAGTCACAGAGATCTATCCACATACCTCTTCCCCATATATCCTTGTCACCAATTTTCTAATCATGTTCCTTTCAAGTCCCAGACCATCTGGCCAAGCCATTAGCCACAACCCATGAATCCATATACAGTCGTACATCTGGAAATGTTCCATGCAAAGTGAACAGCCAAATGCATGGCTCAAAGTTCTGCCCATTGGAAGGATTTCTCTTCACCACTGTCCTTCAAGGAAGTCCCAGTTGCTGCTGTCTACTTTCGAGTGGTGCCTGCATATCACGCAGAACCATCTGTAAAACAGGCACGAGTTTTCTCCTCCTCAGTCAAGTGATCATAAGGAACTCCCCATGAGGCCATAGGTGCAGCTTGGGAGAGGGAAGGTAATGTGACTGGAGTGGAGACCATAGGCATTTGGGCCACTTCCTCATGCAACTTACTTGTGCCTTCAAGTCCTACTTGAACCCAACCTCTGATATACCACTTCCATTTAATGATGGAGTCCACTTCCATTTAATGATGGAGTACTGCTGTGCACATCTAACTTTATAACTCTGTGGGTCAGACAACACTCAGTTCATGATGGGCAGCTTAGGCCTCATGGTGACTTGGTGGCCTATGGTTAGGTGTTCAGTCTCTACTAAAACCTGGTAACAAGCCAAAAGCTGTTTCTCAAAAGGAGAGTAGTTATCTGCAGAGGATGGCAGGGATTTGCTCCAAAATCCTAAGGGTCTGTGTTGCGATTCATCAACAGGGACCTGCCAAATACTCCAAACA